TGAAAAATATTTTGTTCCTGAACTATTTTCTGGTGAACTTAAAATGCAAACTGCTTCAAATCTACAGGAGGTGTGTACCAGGAACAACAGCAGTCCTATAGAGGACCAAATGGAGTTTGAAACAACATATTTTTGTCCATCATGTAATCACATTGTGAAAAACTCTGAAAATGTTGAAAATTTTATTGATCATAGTATTTGCTGTGATATTTGTGACTTGTGGTATCATTTCAGATGTGTAAATGTAACAAAAAAGGTAGCATCAAAGTTACAGCAGTGGGTTTGCAAAAAATGCACTCAAAGTAATTAAATATAATTTGTCATACAGAATGCATGATGTACATGTACAAATAATTGAAACTTTAATTTTTAGAAGAATGCAGTTACTATATATGCATTATCAAATAATTTTACCTGAATATGTACCTGTAGAAAAGATTTAATTTTCATATATAAATTATGCTATACTTTATAAAAATAAGGAGATGTGGTATTATTGTTTAGCTCCAATAGATTGCAAATGAGACAACGTTCCACCAGAGTTCAAATGAAGTGAATATATTAGTAGTAATAGGCAACTGTGTGGCCTTCAATGATGAGTCAACCCCATACCCTTTAGTCAGTGGTAAAAGACAATGACATGAAAAATGTGAAACAAATGAAAACTAACAACAAAACCTTAATTGTGATTATTTTTCACAATTTTTGGATCACAATCAAAATTATGTCTCATACTTTGGAAGAGGGGGGTACATGTTGCATATTCCTGCAATTGTTTTAAAAATACTATCCAAATGTTGCATGAGAGTAAGCGGCACTTCATACTTCAGTATTCTAAAGTATTTCATTCTTCGTATAGCTTGCTCAATATGAATTCTGCGATTAGCAATTTCTTTTGTTTGTTGGACTTCATTTGTTGACATTTGTGTAACACCTCTACGACCTGGTGGAATAAACAGTTGTGCTCTTACCAAAGCTAATTCTTCCCTTATGGTGAAGCCACGATCAGCCATTACACAGTCATATGGTTCAAGAATGTCTAAAAAACCAGAATTGTTAGTAATATATTTATCACTGCATCTACCACCAAAACCCTCTGAAACATAATTAATTAAGCCAGAAGGATTTATGCTCACTAAGAATTTAGCTGTGTTATGATGTTTATAATCACTCCATGTCTGAGCTGCAACCTCTAAATTATTGGGTCTCTCTAAAAATACTTCGGTGCAGTCAGTGATGTGACGGACATCAATGTATTTTGTTCCTTTGAAAGAAGGTGGTAAATTTGTTTTAACTGCCTCTTTTGATGGGTTAAACACCAAAGATCCTATTGTACTGGACAAAACTTTTATCCATGTTGTAAATATGTTTGAAGCATGGGTGGTAGAAATTCCAAATCGGTCAGCAAGATCTTCAAACAACAGGCCTAACCTTAATTTCATAAGGGTCAATGCAAATTCAAATTTAAGTGATAATTTTCTGTTTGAATTTGATCTTGTATATTTCTTGTTTTTAAGTGGATTGCATGTCCTTTTTGGACCTTTCCAATGTCTCATTTGCCTCACTTTTTGTTCCAATTCAATGAAAAAGTCATTGAAAGTTTCAACCTTTGGTATGCCTGTATAGAATTTGCATTTTTTGTCACTTTGTAATATAACATTTATGTCAAATGTTGTTTTGCGTTTAGTATTGACAGATCTTATGTAAGCAGATTTATACATATTGACTTCTTTTTGCAGTTTCTGTACCTGGTCCCTTAATAAAATTACTTCACGGTTACAGTCTGTGTCTTGTATATACATGTAGTCATGATCAGAAGTTATGTGTTTGTTCAAATCCTCAACTGAAAGGTCATTCTCAAGTTTTCGCTTTGTTTTCTTAGGAGGGGGACTGTCATGTCTTTCACGTGGAGGGGGCCTAAATTTTGTTACTTGTATTGGTGTGTAACCCAAGTCAAGTGTTGGTAACGGGTTACTAAGAGTTGGTTCACAATCTACAAAATGTTTGGAGCAAATTCGAGATTCAGAATTAGGTTGCCAATTATTGTTTCCATGTTTTCGATTTACAATTGTTGTCCATTTTTTGCGACCAGCAGGATCTTTTCTCTCAGTGGGAAAAGGTATAAGTTGAAATGGAGGTGAACAGTCACATGATCCAGTTCCCTTGTTACATTTATGTATTTCACATTGTTCTTGCATCCATTTTTCTATTTTGTACCAACTGTTAGAGCAGGATATAACTGAACAACTTCTCCTTGAAACTTTATACATTTTCAATAATTTAACCAAACATTGTAAACAGATAACCAACAAAGATTACTATACCCATTATTTCACTAGAAATCTGCAATTGAAATACCAGAATATGAATCAAAATACACTGTGGGTGTGTAGACCAAAGGTGAAAAAATGCAACTCTGCATGTTGTTGGGTTACTGCTTTTTTATTTACATGCTTATGGCGTTGACCATGGTTTGAGTGTGGTTTGATCTTATGATTATATTCATCATGTTCATATTTATATATGATTATTAAAATTATTGTGTCAATTATTAAAATCTTTGTTATAATTTATTTTGCTTTTCATGGGCATTTTTATTGGAATAAAATATCTGATCTTATTACTAACCTTGCTGTTGCCCCACAATTACACCATGTACACTGTTACAATAAAGACTTTGATCATGTAAACTTTAAACTTGGCAAAGAACAACCAATAACCATGCAAAAATATCAGTTCACATGATCAAGGTTTTATATGCTTGTGTACAGTCTCTTGTAGTATTCACAGGAGCCTTGTGAAGTAGACCCTGCTTGATGTTTTGGGGGTTTAATTTTTATTATTACTTAAAATATTCAATATTTTTAATTTAGCAATGTTTAGTATGGAAAGTAAAATAAGGGGTTGTATCAGAGTTGGTAATTTGACTTGAAACAAGACGAGGCATGCACAGTAGCCACAAATAAGCATGGTATAAACATAGTAAAAATTAAACATTTTAAGCCATAATAATTCATAAAAAAACCACAGAAATTTAATAAAAGGGGGTGTACCCCACATGTGCCTGTTGCAGTTACAGCAGAAACTTGTTTTATTTAAAAAAAAAAAGAAATATCAAGTATATTTGTAAGGTGGTAAAAATCAGCATGTTTGTAAGTTTAATTTTGACAGATCTTGACTGTTTGGAACAGTACATTTTACAAGTAAGTAACCTAGCTGGTGGACCCTTTAAACAATTATAGGGATCCCTATATACATGTATGCAATAAAATGGAATAATTCATAAGCAAACCATTCCTGAGTCTAGTGTTATAAACACGGAAATAAGTCACAAAAGTTAAAATATTTCAGTTAGGTAATGCAGAAGACCGTGACCTAAACAGCTAAAAGGACCTTGTCACGGCTTGTGTACGACAAAGTATGGTTTTGCACCTCTGAAAGGATACACACTGGCTAAGTTTTTGTATTTTTACTAACCTAATGGATTATATAACTATTTAAAATGGTATAATTTGCATGATTTAAGACATTTTCAACTCGAGTAGTGATTCTGGCGATCAATGTTTATTATTACGTGCTCAATGATGTAAGCGGTTTTTCCCCTATGACCTTTGACCGGGCCGCTTACGTTCCATGTGTTGATACAAGTATAGACAACTTTGACAGCGTACACGGAGTTTTGTGTCCATTTTTGGTCCGTGTTTTACCATTGACAAGTCAACATCCGGTAATAGGAAAAATGTTTTTTGAAAAAAGAAAGTACAGTTCTGACAGCGTGATATTGCATTAATAAAGAGTTTAAAGCAGATTTTAGTTCACTTGTTTTTAACATTTCGTATGTGGACTGTCAATTTAACAGTTTACGTCAGAACATCAAAATTATATCAAAAGTCTTCTAAAGCCAAGTTTAGTATCGTTTTAATGTAAATTATTCAGGCATTGTGATGATGCCAAAATTTTAACAATGATTGCCTTTGTGACTATTAAAGTCTTACAGGATTGAAATTTGAATCAGAAGAAAATATCGAGCTGACTTAAACATTTGTTGGAAGTTCGGGCTATCAGGTTTGATCTGCTGGGCTAGCAGTTCTATCAACAGGACTAGTAAATCCTGCTATACCAATAAGTCCTGGGCTAGTGAGCTGGAACAAAAATTTTTAACCCCTGCCTGGCTGATGAAATTTACTTTCAGTTTGTAATTTTTATAATGGGATATGGGATCACTCCTAATGTAACTACTTCTAACAATGTTTAATTCAATAAAACATACTGGATACAATTTAAAAAATCTTTCTGAATAAAAAATAGTACTGTCAGACCATTTATATTTTATATTTTAATAAAGTGGGACCAAGAGTCACAATTTAGTTTCTTCAAAGTAAAAAAGCCTTTTAACTCAAGCCTATGTTTCTTAGTTGAACAGTACAGTACTGCCTAGAAAATATCATACAGAAAAAGGATAAGTTTACCAAAAAAATGAATAAAAATTCTGTAAAAAAATAATGCTGAAATTATATAAGTGAAAGTGACATAATTTTGAATTTTAAAATCATTATTATTTTGGCGCCGAAAGGGTAAACGTTCAGTGGCAAATTAATTTACATATTCAGGACGAGAACATGTTCATGTAATATGAATATTAACCCTGTTTTGTACACGCTGAGCTGAAGTTTTAACGTGCTATTTCACGAGAGTACAGTTCGCAGGAAGACATGTCACCTTACGGTGACTTACCCGGATACATTTTTCTGACTCCGAGTCGACCAGCCTTTGTTTTTTTTTATTAGTTGTTATTGGCTTTGAACTAGCTGCCAGTAACTGCGAGTACTCTCAGATCTGTACTTAGCGTCTTTTTGTTGTGGGGATTTTTTGACAATTTGCGGACCATATGTGTTACATGTATATAAAAAAAAATGTAGGTAAAGAATAATGATCTGTTGCGCTGTAAGCATTTGGTTTGTATTCGAATTGAATATAGCGGGCAGTCTTACAAAACTTACCTTAAAGATAACTGGACTCTGGAGTGTGGGATTGTCTTGTGCAAACGCTTTCTTCTTGTATCCAAAGTGACGTCACGCTAAGCGTTGTGCAAAAAGGTCGTTCCCCTGACGTCACAGGGGTGGATTTGAAATGGGGCCTCTGTAGGGTTTTATCTTGTTATTTCTTTGATAAACATACACATAAAGCATATATACTATTTAAATGTACCCTAGGCCTACCCTATGATAGAAATACAATTAAATATTAGTTTTCATTTTTTTGTCTTACCTTTGACCCCAAGCATCGCTCGGATTTTATGGAATACAAAAAAAATATCTGCAGATATTCCAATTTCCAATAAATCAAACTTTATAACTTACCAATATAACTGCAACAGCACCAGTCATATTTTACAAAATGTAATGAAAAGGTGCAACAACTAATTTATTCTGATAACTTATGCATGTTATGCTTCTTGTATTTTACAATCTTGTTTCGCTGAGGAAAACATAGAAAAAATCATAGAATACCAATTTTCACGACAGTGAAAACAACATTATGGAGGTATTTCTTAACATGTAACCAAATTATGGATCAAAGCTGAAGCTGAGTCATAATAATTAATGATAACAATTCTAAATATCCTTAATATCGTCATTTTTTAAACCTCGAAAAAAAGTGAAACAAAAGAAGATTCGAATATACCTATATAAATCCTTTTAGAAGTTTTACCCGTATTATATATTGATGAGCTTTCGCAACGTTCAACAGTATTCTATTTAAGGAAATGGTTTCTGTGGGTAAAAAATATTTAACACATACTACTATTTCTGCTGTTCCTCATCATCTTGAAGCTTCTGTGAGGTCTTCAACAATGAAGTCAATAAAATATCGTACAGTGAGCAATCTCCAGACGACTGACCCCTTTTGTGTTCACATAATGCATGCCAATTAACATTTTTATTATCATTCATCCCTGATTGAATTTTTATTTGGATCCGATTTTCTGACAGCCTTTAGACTGACAGCACACAAAAAATAGTTTTACAGCGCATTTTAGTTACAAGCAAGGTCAACATAGATTTGTGTCAATGATCTGTAAAATCTCATATCGAAAAAAGTAAAATAACAAAAATACCGATTCATTCTAAACGGAAAGTCCCTAAGCAAATGGCAAAATCAAAAGCTCATACACATCAAACGAATGGATAACAACTGTCATATTCCTGACTCGGAACAGGCATTTCCTTATGTAGTTAGCGCAAAAATAAAGTTTAGTTAGTGTAATCCGGCCTTGTATAAATGACATCAACACTTCAAAAGAAGTAAATTTCCTCATGGAACATTATATTATATTTATTTATGTCAAAAATAAGAGGAAGCACTGCTATCTTAAATGAAAGACTTATAAAAAATGGAAGATGTTGTCAGTAGAAGTCATTCGGTTTTTGTAAGAATTAAAGGACAGCTGACAGGATCTTTGTGTTGAAGTCACTAATAAATAAATATTTACATAAAATTAAAAAGAAAATATATGCATGCTTTGGGTTATGGGTTTTGCTCACTGTTTAAGGACGTACGGTGACCTATAGTTGTGAATCTCTGTGTCATATGGTCTCTTGTGGAAAGTTGTCTCATTGGCAATCATACAACATCTTCTTATTTTCATATTTGTTGACCTTAGGAAGGCTTTTGACTCTGTATGGAGAAAAAGCCCTTCTGTATAAATTATACAACCTAGAGGTAGGTAAAAAAAATTATAACATAATTAAACAACAATATATTAAACCTTAATCAGCCATTAAAGCACAAAATCAGCACTCAGACATTTTTGAAATATCAAGAGGAGTAATACATGCATGTACAAGGAGAATCTGTGAGTCCCTCTTTGTTTAATTTTTTTTATAAATGGTATTGAAAGTGAGCTCTTAAAAAATTATAGTTATCCTTTAAAGTAAGTTTCTTTTGACTCCAAGGTAAATTGTCTAATGTTTGCGGACGATCTTCTAATACTATTAGAAAATAAAGAAGGTTTGCAAAATAGCTTATTAATAATGAATAATTTTGAAGAGTATAATTGTGATAAATGGCAACTTACATTAAGGATGTTCGCTACTTTGTTTCAAAATATCAAGCTTTTTTAAAAGACTGTTATAAATTGATAGTATAAAAATAAAGAAACTAAAAAAGCAGAAAAAAATGAAGGGTCCGTGTGCTTGTTTTCGAAATATAAGCCATTAAAAATTTGGCGGGAAAGGATTTTCTCTAGATTTTTCTTACATTTAACATTGGCACCTTTTTTCTTTCAAAAACGATGAAAAAATAACTAGGATTTTATAAGATTTTCAAAGATGACATTTTAAACTGTATGTAATTAAATTACGGAAAGAAAAGTAGGGGTTAGTGGGCAAAATTATAAAATAACACTACATGGATAAAACCAGAGGATTCCGAATATCTGGCAAATATTCAAAAAAAAAGAGGAACGAACATCCTTAAATGTAAACAAATTAAAACTATGATTTTACAAAACAAAAGCATAAAACTTGAAAAATCTTTTGTTAAATATATAGAAATATAGATTTGATAAATGTTACTGAATACCATTTTTTAGGGATTCTAATTAAATGCAATGGTAATCTTAATCATAGCAAAGAAGAACTCTAGTAAAAAAGCCCAAATCTAATGTTCTCGATAAAGTGTGTGGTTCAAGTTTTTAAATTTTAATATTTTTGTCAAAGGGTCAAAGTAAATATTTTGTCAAAATTTTATGAAAATTAAACGAGCCAAATTAATTTTAGTCAAAATGTTTGGTACCACCTTAAAAAGAATAGGATTAACATTTGGACATTATTTAGACACACTGTCTATTTTAAGTGAGTTGTATTATGGCATGTTCTTGTATCTATATATTTTCATATTTTTCAGTTATTTCACCAACCCCAACACCCAGCAGTGATCATGTTTATAGCTTAAGCAAGATTGTTGAAACCAGGGGCGGAACCAGGATTTTAGGTTTGGGGGGGGGGGGGGGGGGGGGGGGGAAGGAGGGGGGGGGGGTGCAAACTTAAATTTTCGCCAATCAAAGCGAATCGAAAAATTTTTGAGGTAAAATTTTCAAAATATTCTTTATTAAGCTGAGGGCAACCCATGCTTTGCACATTTTAGGGGGCGCGGCCCCGCCGCACGCCCGCCACACCCCCGCCTGAATCCGCCCCTGGAAACATCTGTGTACAAGAACCAAGCTTCTCAAATAATACTGACAGGTGATGACATTGAGAGAGATATTCTTTTAACGAAGGCAGTGGTGGACATTGTGACAAAAAAGGATGAAAGTGCATGTAAAGAAGTATACTGGAGTGCCATGTAAATCCCAACTTATTGGAATATTTGGTAAGTATTGTGCATGTACATGTAATTTTAAACTTCTATCACAGAAACCCAGACTTCATGATAGTAATCTGTCCATGACGTTAAAATACTAAATCCCTGGGATGTGTTTTAGTTGATTTTAGTCTCTGGTGCATGATTTTTTATTATTAATTATTTTTGGCTTTTAACTAGCTGTCATTAACTGCGATTACTCTCAAATCGTACTTTCTTGTTTATTTGACCTGTTGATACTACATGTAATTGTAATTAATGCTTTTTTGTTATTTAAGGTTTACTTATTCAGGGTTATATCTGGTCTTTATACCAGCTTTGATAAGACTTAGTGTTTGAAATTACTATAAATTTTCACTTCTTCGTACTATGAACATCAAAATTATTTATTTTGTAAAATAATTTCCTTTCTCCATATGAACTGTACACGTATACCTAACTACAAAATTATTTTCATTTACCTGTGATTAAAGTAATTGCAAATGGCTGATATTTTTGTTCAAGCATATTGTTTTTCTTAAATTGTTTAACATTTCACAGCGGTATAACATGTTACTTTACTTATTCTTCCTTTAGTTTATTTATTTTGTATTTACATTGTATCATAGATCAAATTTATTTGTTCAGTGTATATTCACTGGTGTTAATATGTCTTTTGATTTAGTTAAGCCATTTCAATTGATATTTTATAGTGTGTCTTTCTATGTTGTGATGTTACATATTGTTTCAGATAAGGGTGAAGGTTTGGTATCATTAAAACGTTTAAACCCGCTGCAATTGTTTGCACCTGTCCTAAGTCAGAAATCTGATGTTCAGTAGTTGTCGTTTGTTGATGTGGTTCATAAGTGTTTTTCGTTCCTCGTTTTTTATATAGATTAGACCTTTGGTTTTCCCGTTTGAATGGTTTTACAGTAATTTTTGGGGCCCTTTATAGATTGCTGCTCGGTGTGAGCCAAGGCTCCGTGTTGAAGACTATACTTTGACCTATAATGGTTTACTTTTATAAATTTTGACTTGGATGGAGAGTTGTCTCATTGGCACTCATATCACATCTTCTTATATCTATAAATTGGATAGTTTATGAAAAGGTATATGCTATGAAATTAAGAGCTCGGGGCAAGCCCCTCGCTCTAAATTTCATAGTAAATACCTTTTCATAGACTAACCTAGACATAGTGTACGGAATGATTGTACAACCAACATGTCTGTCTTGAAGGTTTAATCTCACCTTGACCTCATGAACAATGTCCAAAATTGTGTCCAACTTTTACAGCGAGAGGACTATTGTTAGTATACATTATAAGTATGTACATGTATGTACAAAATGAATATACTATTGAAAGGTACCAGGCCTGTAATTTTTTCTACGCCAGACGTAGTTTTACTATACATGTACTTCTTTACATGGTAAGATGACGAAATGAATTGACCAAAAGTAGGCAATAATTAAATTGCAGTGGAAGCTTTACATGTTTTGAAAACATTTTTTCAATTTCACAGTAAAACTAAAACTATAATAAATTTGAAACATAGATAGTTTGTCCCCTTAGATAGTCTAGTGGGTAGCTTTAAAAAGCAACTACCAATAGATCAGAGATTATAGGTTTTGTGTTTTTGTGCTCTTACTCTTAAATGCCGCGTGTTTAGCGTTGAAACAACAAATACCAATTTTAACGTCTTTGTTTGACCCGGTGTGGATTCGAAACAACGACC